AAATATTTTCTCCCATTCTATAGCTTGTAGAGTTTTCCTAAGAGGAAGTCATTCTATTTTGATAAATTCCAAACTATAATTTTTTGTTTTGTTTGTTTTTCATTTATGTTTTATGCTTCTGGTGTTCTGTTAAAGGGATATTTCCTCTATATTTTTTCTGAAGTTTTTACTTTTGTAGACTTCACATTTAGGTCTATAATGATTTAGAGTTTTCGTGTATGATACGAGCAATTTTTTAAAGATGAATATCCAATTGTGCCAGCACAATTTGTTGAAAGACTTTCCTTTACCCATTGGATTACCTTGTCACTTCTGCTGAATATCAATTATTTACATATGTGAGAGTCTATAATTGGACTCTCTATTGTGTTCCATTGAGGAGTTACATCTCTCCTTTTGCCAATACCACAATGTCTTCATTACTGCCGCTTTGTATGTCTTAAATCATGTAATCATGTGATGTATGTCCTCCCACAATTTTATTTTAAGCCTTTTTAAGTCCAACTTCCTGTTATCTCTGGAATTTCACAATGTTGAGTTACAGAGACTCAGCCTTCTAGAATTCTACAAAAAGTACTTTATTTCAATGCCTGTCTGTTCACTGAATCCAAAGAGAAGTTTTATAAAGTTCTTCATATTTTGATGGATAAAGTAGATATAAGAAAATGTAAAATTCGAATTTTTCCATGTCAGTTTTTAAAATGGTCATATGATTCAATCATACTAGAAAGTTTTCTATGCATTTAATCCATATACAATTCACATAGTGCCTAGGACAAAAACAAAGGCAAGATCTTAAGGGTCTTAAGTTCTGATTTTTCTTTTGGTTTGTGTTATCCTGCTCCAACCTAAAATAAAGATAATTGAGTTAAAGAATTCAAAGAAAATTCCCTGCAAAAGAAAAACACATTTGAATCTAATTCTTCTGTTGAGTTCTCACCGATTTCTCTTGAATTAAGTGAAATAAAATTAAATGCCCACAAAAAAGTATTAAGATTCCTGGAGGTCTTCACTTTTACTTCCCTTCTATTCAAAAAAAGGTAATACTTGCAAGGCTACTTCTTACCGTTTCTAGGGAAATATTCTTCCATACCTCAGTATTCTCAGCCAGGCTGAGTAATTTCAGGAAGCTATTACAATGACTTGATGCAGTTGGAGCTGGCTCAGCTACAAGACGCCAGATGGCCTGAAGGAACCAATTGCTTAGGACTCAGGAACAAAGCTATCCAAGAAGTTAGCCATTAATTCTGCAAATTAATGCAGAATAGTAAGCTATTATTGCTGGGGATCAAGATGTTTCACAAGCATCCCTACATCTGTGCCTTTAAACATTTTGCAGATGTAAGTTGTTATCCTAAGGGTAAAATTATATCATTAATTAGATCAGCACTATTGCATAATGCTGACTCTCTAGTGCTTGTGTTTAAATATCTAAGTATGGAAGGGAAATATCTAATGCAGATGCTTTGGACCAACTGTCACTGTCAAATTCAGAGTTATATGTTTCTAAGATTGTACCTGTAACATACATGTTGAAGGTTGCTGTGAACCCTCACAGCATGGTGCTTGACTTTTATTTATAACTGATTAGAAATGAGATAGTCATAAGAATGCCTAAGTCATGCATAAGCTGTGAAATAAGGTTTCTGCTCCTATAGGTTGCTGTATGTAGTTAGCCATTGCATTCATCTTTTGGAAGTTTATCTTGACATATATATTTGTGAATCAAATATTCATATGAGTGAACATTTAGGATCCTTACTCCATCATTCAACTGATTCACTCATGCATTCAATAAATATTTATTGAGCACTTATTTAGGAGCTAACACATGTAATGATCAAAAGGACTGACAACTCCTTTGACATTAATGTTACCTCCTAGAAAATTTGTTTTGTATGGAGCTTAGATGACAGATTGGAGGTAAAATGACTCTACATGGATCCACTTGAAGGTGTATATGTGTGTAGCAGAACCATAGCCCTGTGTTGCTTAATGATGGAAATATATTTGGAGAAATGTGTCTTTGGGCAATGTTGTCATTATGCAAACATCATAGAGTGTATTTACACAAACTTAGATGGTGTAGACCTAGGCTATATAGTATACCTCATTGCTCCTAGGTTACAAACCTATACAGCATGCTTACTGTACAAAATACTGTCATCAGTCATAAAACAACGGTAGGTATTTGCATATCTAAACACAGAAAAGGTACTGCAAAATACGGTATTTTAATTTTATGGGTCCACCATCGCACATGCAGAAGTCCATTGTTGACTGAAATGTCATTATAAGGAGCATGACTGTATTTCATCTTCTACATTTATAACTATTTTGCCCTATATATTGAAGTTATTTTTAAGTTATATCTCCTGACACTTATTACATATTAAGGCATTTCCAGATAGCTTCAGATAATAGTGTGCCAAACCACTTTGGTTCTTTTCCTACCTCAACATCCTTCTTCAGAGATTTATTTGTTGCTTCCTCTTCATCTTCCTAAACTTTAAATATTGTATTAACCTATGTTTCAGCTCTTGGATCTTTTGAATCTTTTCTCGATTCTAACTCATTTCCTATTGTTATCATTTAGTGTCATGTCCACAATATTATCTACTTCTTAATGGTTTTCAAATATATATCTATCACAGACCTGCTTACATCTCCACTTGGATGTATAATGGGCATCTAAAACTTAAAACATTACCCCCAAACCCAACACATTTTGCTTTCTGTTTTCTCTTGCTGTGTTCCTCCCAAGATCCATGTGTGGTTGCTCTTACTTTCTTCAGATCACTAAGCAAATGTCACCTTCTCTAGGTCTTCCCAAGTCACCTTATATAAAATATCGCCATCCTTACCCTCCCACCCTGGTAGTACTCCTTATCTTTCTTATCTGAGTTTATATTTCTTCACAACAATTTTCATAAACTGACATATTATAGATATACGTGCTATTGTCAGCTTCCTTAAACTAAAATATAAGCTTCATGAGGGTGAGGTATTTTTTTCTTGTTCTATTATTTGAGCATAGTATAGTGCCTAATAGTCAGAACTCAATACATATTTGTCAAATCAATGGCTAAGTTTGTAGATAATCTCTTTATGGCTCAATCAACCTACCTATTGATCGTCTGGTTTCTACACTTCGCATTCTGTACTAAATTGGGATTTAAATACAAAATTAGAAAGAGAGAAAAAGCACATTTTTGAATACCTAACCTAAAACCTAGCTTTATTTGTACAATGTCTCATTTAAAATAAGGCAACGTGCCAGGATGTTAAAAGAAAGAGATTTTAAAATTCCCTTTAAACAGTTATATTTTTAGAGATGGAAAGTTCGTTTAGGTGGGTAAGAAATAACCAAATAAAGAGAGCAAATAGCTTAGAAAAAATAAATATTAAAAAATCAATTAAGATACCTTTTATACCTTGATAGTGTAAGTGCTATAGGAGACAAAAGGAATTCAGTTTTAATTCAGAATCTGTCACAAGGGATTCCACATACAAAAGATAATATGGCACATAAAGAAGTTGAGAACAGCCAAAGAAGATAGTGGTTACAATGTATTTTTATATTCTGTTCTCTGGATTTAGACATATTTTAGTTTGCATCTAACACGTCCTTTTAATAGGTAAAAAACCTCAAAGTGTCTTTTAACTTCTGTAGTCTTCAAATTATTGATCTGTCCAATAGAGATGGAAAATAAGAATCAAATTATATCATAAATATAAATATTTTAATACAGTACGTGGCAGATATTTAGAGTAAAAAAAATCACAGAATGGTGCTAGTAAAATTTAAGTAACTGCAATATGATATATTGTCAAAATAAACTTCTAAAATATTTTTAAAATGGTATTTGTGAAAAATAATCTATAATCTACCAAAATCATGTTAATTTTGTGATTCGTAGTTGATTATTTCTTGAGTGCTTAAACTTGGAGTACTTTATGAAAGATGCATATTTTCCACTTATCAGTTCCATCAATTCTCTATACTGCATAAACCAAAACTATCCCCTGTGCAATACTCCTCCAACAGTAACCACAGACAGCCAGTTCTGTTGTCCAAAACAATGTTAATTTCAGCACGTAAAAGCATCTGCCCACAAATCCAACCTTGTGTACCCAAAAACATTCATTTTGTCATGGAGATTTAGGAAAGAAGATTGTGACTAAAGTTTTAAATGTCTAACGACCCAAAATTGAGAGCAGCGTGAAGGGAGTTAAATGATGAGATCAGAGAGGTACCAGAGACAGATTTTACAGAATCAAAGCTGGCTACTGTCATAAACGCTGAGTTCCAAGGATCCATGACTGTGACACATGAAAATCCTTGGGAATCAGATCACAAGCACATATCAACACCAGTTCCTTTGGAGCTCCACTATCACCAGGTGAATATTATAGTCTATACAACATTTCACACATCACATTTGGTGCAGCTCCAACTCAATACATTCATTCAAGTTCTAAATCAAATATTCACTGGATATTTCACTTACTCTGTACCAACCACTAGGCTGGATGCTGGAGAAACACACTCTGCTCTTATGCAGCTAACATAGTGGGTAAGACTGATAAGAAGCAAATACTACACAAATGACATTCTTCATAAGGACCTGAGCATCTGGAATTTTTGGTTTCTGCAGATCTTGAAACCAATTCCCTGAGGAATCTGAGGGATGACTGTACTGGATTTAAAGCAGAAGCACTAAACTGGCATAATGCAAAGTCTTTCCTGACTACACTGCAATTTTCAAAGTAGAAATTGCTGGGTCTCGCTTTACTGACTTTAAGTGTCCACACCTTATTTCTATTACTTGCATAGCACAAGAGCAAAAATTCACAAACCTTTTGCTAGAAAATTCTCCTTTCAAACAGTAGGGTGCTTTTGACTCACAGACTCTAAAATATTCTCCTCCTCCTCCAATCAATACTTCTAAACAGGGAATGTGAAAACTTTAAAAATCCCACCTGAACACAACCCTTACCTGCATCTCTTGACAAAAGGAAGCCGATGGCCCAAAGAGAATCTGACACTGCTCATCAGCAGTGTATGTCATCTCCGGAAGTTTGGAGGGAACCATCACAGAATTGACACTCTGGGGATTTGTTTGCAGCAAGCAGTTACTGGTCTTTGACCTAACAATATTCAGATATGTGTCAAAATTTGAATTTATTGTAAGAAGCTGTTATGATTAGTTAGCATAACAATAAGAAACATTTTTAGAATACCAAAGTATTATTTTGAATAATATTGAAAATTTTATTGTTCATAAAAATTATTCTATTTATGAACATCAATTATTTACAATTACTTAAAGGAATCCTTGTAAATAATGATGTTCAAGTTAGTAGAACTAGAACTTTTTGGTTTGTAAGGCACATGCATATGAATTAGTTTAGCCAATCTGTATAACACTGTGAGGCAGGTATTATTTTATACATTTATAATATACAGAAACAGACTCAGAGAGTAACTTGCCCAAATGTGATGTGTAAATGTAAGAAATCATCTAAACTAAGGGATTTTAAAAATGTATGGCAAGCATTCTCAACCGAGTAGTAATAGTGCAGATATGTTTGTACTTGGCATTGTAATTCAACTTAATATACATCTTGTACACAACTTTGTATGAGGGAACCCAAAAAAACTGGAATTTATTTGTAAAAAATTAAGCATTTGTTCTTACATGTTTAAACTTCAGTCACCTTCAAAGTACGCTTCATTTGATGCAATACATCTATCTAGATGCTTTTTGCACTGCTCAAAACAACTTTTGAACTCATCCATTTTGATGCCTTTTAGTGCATCTGTCATTTTTTTGTTTTCCCTTTTCCACATCGGAAAACGTTTCCCTTTGAGAAATTTTTTTCATCAGGGGAAACAAAAACAAGTTGCTTGGGGGAGAGATTGGATAAATATGGATGATGGGGCATGAATCTCATGTCATTTTTGGTTAAAAACTGCTGAACACTCTGCAGTGTGGTTAGGTGTGCTCATAAATCACACATCAACAGGCAAACACATTGAAAAAATTAAGAAAGAAAAACATCCACTGAAGCTGACTCTCATAACAATGCTAACTGTTACACTGATTATGATGGGTTCTCAGAACATTTACCTAGTGAGAGAAGCCTGTACTATTACACAAGGAGCCTGCTCTCCAAAAAATAATTCCATTTTATTTTTGGGTCCTCCTTGTAATACAACATTTTTCAGCAACATGTAATTTGATCAGAGTCCCAATTCATGTGAAAGCAGCTATACAAAATCTGGCACATTCCTAAGGAACTTATTTTGGCCTTCTGAAGAACTACTGGTGTAGCTATTTATGGTGTGTTCAAATGTTACAAGCTCTGAATGGTGTACTCTAGACTATTATGACAAAAAGTATGCACAGAGCATATACATATTTCATAAAAGAGTTATGGTAATGCAATAAGCATTTTAGTATATTTTGACATACATTTAGTAGAAAATAGGTTTAACTACTTAAAGGGCATGGAAAATATGAGTAAAATTCATCTGTTCAATGAATTTAGCTGGATAGATATTTCTGTATTTCTTATTTAGACTTGTTTTGAATACCTTAAACATCTTGCTAACTATTTTGTGTATCACCTACTACTTCAGTTGCTCCTTCTATTATTAAAAGAATAAGTAAAGAACAAGGATTTCAAAATGAAAATTAGAAAATTTTTCATTTCTTTTTTCAACCAGATAGACACTTAGTGTTATTGAAGGTTGAAAAGAAGAGAATCAAGGACTATTACAATGGTGAAAACTATGTATTAATGAAAAAAGATTCAAAGTGTGAAAGTATCATAATGAAAAGGTAGAGATTTTGATAGAGGGGGTCTGTGCTTTGTGATAACAACAGAAGTATTGGGTGCTAAGATGAAAATATATCTGCTGGGAAACATTGGAGACTCAAGCAAATACTGTGACAGATTTTTAAAAATCATTACAACAATTTTTCAATCTTACAAATCATCTTGTCCATCCTTTTATTTTAAAAATGTAGAAACTAAAAAAACAGATGAGCTAAATAATGTCCCCCAATGCATACCACGAGTCAATGCAAGAGCCAGGATTTTAATGAAGTACCTGAATTTCTACCCTGTTGGCCTTTCCACTCTGCCACACTGCCTTCCCTGGTTAGTGAGAAAGCAGGAACACATAAACATTCAAAGGGCAAAAGCAATAAGTGACCTCAGTACCTGAGAAATCTTTCCAAATCTTCCTTGCTACATCGAGACCATGAAACATCACCAAGATTTTGTCCTTTAATCCATTCACCAGACATGATATGAAGACCATCAGCACATGATGGGTGGTCATTGTCATGATTAATGCCCATGCTGATTCAGAATATAATTAAAATTTTTATAATTACATTAGGTAAATATTACTTTTTAAAACTTTTCATAACTGTAGTTAAATAGTTAAAACATTGGGAAAGAAATGTGTTTTAAAGAAATTAGTCTCGAGATAATATTGGATTTCAGGCTAATTTACTTTTAAAATTTTGTTAACCAGACTTAAGGCAAATATTTTTATTTATTAAAAAAAATTCCCCAATCAACCTACAAAATGACATGGTTAAGTAACCTACATTGAAATGGTCTATAGATACAGTCTTTGTATAGTAGTATGTATGAAATTAAGTAACAGAAAACCACACTAGATTTTTTATCTTCCCTGCCTCAAATTTTCTTCAAAATCTGAAACCACACCTTTTACCAAATATGAGAACACATTGAACTAGGAATTTACTATTGTGTCGGTACCATCTACTCCATTAAACCATCTTCTAACTACCTACTTCATAACAAATTGTCCTGGGTAAGCATCCCCATTTGTGGCCTTCTTTAACTTTTCTAGTGAATAATGAATCTGCAGAAACTTTATTCTAAAAGTGTGATTTATTTCTAAATAGATGCTCTAGAGTACTTTAAATGTGTATGTCTAAAAACTGCCCTTCTTACTTTGTCTTTCAAACCTGTTTGTTCCTATATTCTCTTTCTTTCTTGCTCTTTTTATGATTTTGCTAGCCAGTAAGTTCTGTGAAAGAAAACATCTTCAGGTCATCATTCACCACCCAGGCTATTTATCAGTAAGTGTTAGGAGCAAGTCCGGGCAATTTTACTTTCTAAATATTTGCATCAACTGTCATTTCCCTTCTATCCATATTCTTATTAGTAAAAAATTATATAATACTCTAATTACAGTAGATGAAGAGTCTTGACAATTATTATGTGTTCTGTTCCTCTAATCTTTACCAACATTCTCCCTTCCCCTCCTCTTACCTTGTCCCAATGAGATCTACTTAAAATATAATTGGATTATGCTAATCTTCTGTTTTCTCATTACCTATATGGCAATTTTCAGCTCTTTAACATGATTCCATACAATTTATTGCACTTTCTCTTCAGCAATACCAAATGACTTGCAATTTTCCAAATGTTATGTTGCTTCTTATTTTCTCACAACTGTTACTTAGCATTTTATATGTATTGTACATCATATAAAGGGTTTCATGAGCTTGAGTTGAGCAATCCCATGGGGTAGAAATGATAAAAAATCCATTTTGCTGATGAGAAGTAACTCTCCCAAGGTTATATAGTGAGAAATTGGAAATTTATAATGGCTAACCTGAGGTACCTGGCTCTGGAACTCATGTGGTTAATCATTTTACATTGGGCATCTATAAATTTCATACCCCATGCCCCATCTTGTCCAAAGTACCTTTCCTTCAGCTTTTTTAAGGTGGACAAATTTGACTTAATCTTCAAGATTGGCCATTGCCGGACCGTAGCTGCCATTGCCTTACTAAACTATGGTGTGGCCATGGGCTTTTTGAGCTATGAACAACATTGTTAAGTGTTTCCTACATGGCATTATATACTTCAATTTTCTGTTAACCTTCTAAATTCTAGAGGAAAAGGACTTTTTCATCTCTCTAAGAGCCTGGCATAAAGCAATCACTCTGCAACCCATGTTGAAACATTGATACAAGTCATCATGTAGGATCATTTATATTACAGAAAAAAAATTCATGTAATTTCCTATGAATTCTCATAATGAGGGCAGTAAAATCATTATTTGTGAATGAGAATTAATACTGAAGATGCAGAAAAATGTCTATTTTTGTACTTGCAAATTCTAAGATGATGGCTGAATAGCCCAGAGTTCTCTTTTCTTCTTCTGTTATGGTCTAGATAGTAAAACTGTTTTTCCTAATGAAAAATTTACAAGAAAATTTATATTATATTTTAAAACAATAAATTGAAAGAGTTATTATAGAATTTACTGAGAGAAATTACAGCTAGACTACCCACATTTTCTCAAGTCAAAATAAAATATTTGAAGACTACCAAACTACATTTTTATTAAGATAAATTAAACATTTGAATCAAAATTGTTGCAACTAAGTATGTATTTGAAAGACGAAAATGATATAAAAGGAAAACAATAAAGTCTACCCATATGATTAATGAATTAAGTCCAACTGTATCACTATGTCTGTTAACTTTAACTACGAGAATTCTTGTCTAAATATAACTAAAAATACATTATTGAATATTATTTTTCACTTGTAGTATTAGAAGAATTCATTGGCGATTCATATATTTCTTTTCTAATTAATGTCTTCAAATAGAATCTGTATCAACACATATTAGAATAATTGACAGAGAAAATAAGAAGATAAACGTTTTCATATTTTGAAGATAAAGAAGAAAAGTACGAGATATAATAGGTGTGAACTGGCTCAAGTAAAAGAATATTGGTGAGGAGAATGAAATGATATTGAAGTTAGAGATTTAATCTCTTATATCTTCCTATTCATGTAACCAGAGTTAAGTTAAATATCAATAAATAACCCCACAAAACTATAATAAAAATACTGATTAATTATTAAAAAAAAATCAATAAATATGCCTCAGTTTCCTAATTTGCTATACATACTTTCCTAACTGATTTGCTGTGAAGACTGCATAGGATGATATAAAGAACCTGCACCATGTCAGGACTATATAAGGAATCCATCATAATGATTCTTTACATTAGGGCAATAGACAAGAAAAATTTTACTGTATTATATTATCTGTCCAAAGATACATAGAGATTAAATTATCATAAAGATAATCTGTTTTCTTTAGTGAAAGTATGAACTTAAGAAAAACTAAGAAAATAATGATGGGAAGAATTTCCTTTGCTTAGATATTAGACTAAGACATGAAATGGTAAATATGACACAACCTCACAAATGGTAAGAATTCCTCAATGTATTTCTAACTGTATGGTTCGGATACAGACCCTGCCAGTGCCACTGTCTATCTCTTCCATGGATTCTGGCTGCAGCACATATCACTGGGTAATCAATGGAATAATAACCATTAGCCACATGAAACATGCTTGACTTTTTCTTGGCGGTGCAGTGTTTCAAATCATATACAGATGCTATCATTTCGGAAGGGCAACAACTTTTTATTCAGAAATAAAAAAACTTCCTAAATAATGTGTACATTTGAGAAGAGAGGAGCTGCTTCCCAGATTTAGCAACTTGGATATTTTCCCAAAGTAGTGTAATATGATTTTCTAAATATGGAACATTACAACCTCTCATCCAGATCATTTCCCTTTGGGATCCTGATTCTCATGTAAGAAATTAGGTTCAGCTATGGAGAGATCTGGTGATTCAAGCATTATCATTAGTTAAGTTTTCCTAAAGCTATTTAACTCATAACAGAAAAGCTTATCATCAAATTGGAGGGAGCTATTTTTTTTGTAACCACACATCTGGAATTATCAGAAGACACAGCTAAGTGTCCTGATTCTAAAAATATGAAACAAAACAATTAGCTGTGAACCCTTATCTGTGCCAGCCGCTACATTCAGCATTGATAATGATGATATCATTCAGTACTCACAATATTCCCATAAGGGAGCTAAACTAAGGCTGTGAAAAGGCATACAGAATGATATAATGGTCACTGGAGAATCAGAAGGGGTGGGAAGAGAGGGGGGATGAAAAATCTCTAATCTGGTAAAATGTGCATAGGTGGAGCTGGTGAGTACACTCCAAGTCCAGACTTCTTTGCTGCTACATAATGTATCCATGGAACCAAAAACTATTTGTATCCCCTAAAGTTATTGAAAAAATAAATAATTTCTATATTGTTTTCATTATCATGACTTCTATTTTAAAGATCAGGAAGGTGCTGAGACTGATGGAAGCACTGTGCCTCAGACCCAGGCAGTCTAATGCTTAAGCGCATGAGCCTCTAAACTACCACACTATTGTGCTTCTTTTCCTGAATCAAAACTCTCCATGTCTGCAGAAAATTATTTTCTGAATACTTTTAAGTGCTTCTGTTCTTTTAGCAGAAATGTACCTCTACATATACAGCTCCATAACCAGGTCACATGCACTGCATGGAAAACATTCTCTAAGTAAAATATTAGCAACACCTCTCCTCACACTGTGCAATTGAACTACATTTTAATAATCTCAGTTTAAATTCATTTTGACAAAGAGCCTTGGGCAAATAAACTCTCCACTAACATTGTACATGGTTGTCAAGTCAACTGAAAAAATATTTTTATCTTATAAAACTTCTCAACTTGTTTAAAAGTCCCTGCCAGGAAGTTTTGTGATATCCTGCGGAAAGCTGGAGAAGCATTTGGATTTTGAAGATGGTCCCTTTTGATGTTTAAAGGGTTAGAGAGGAGAAGCCTTATGAATTCACTCACATTTTTAGGATAATTTGAATATGTTCTGATTTGTGAACCATAATATTTCTAAAAAATAGAATTTTTGTGCTGAATACATTTAATATTTAATAAAAGAAACTATCACAATGTCTAACTGGAAGTATATTTCCACAATATGACATTTAACTTCATATATTTCAGTAGGTATATCTAATTTGATGTAATTTTACTGCTGTGTACTTATGGAGAAAAAGTCAGAAATTAAGAAATGCAAGAACTTTTTGTATCATCTATCGCTTTTTTAATATTTCAAATCATTGTGATTTGCACAAAACAATGAAATATGTACTTTTAATGCAAGTCCAAAGGCTACGTAAAGCAAATCAGCAACAAGGTAAAACATTTGAGGGAAAAATAAGAAAAGCTGAAATACAAAAAAAGATTCCATTTGACTAAGTTGTGAATTATACTACAGATTTATCTAGCAATGTAATATGGACTTGCTGAGAATATACCACCGTGCTGAGCTGGGATCATAAAGATAAATCAAACCCTCAAAGTTTTTATCACCTACTAGGATTAGAATAGTCTATCTTTTGCCTTTGTATAGTCAATAGATGCTTGGACCCTGTTAGCATTACTG